CCGATGATATGACCATACTTTTTCGTTGGACTCGTCTGACCAGATCGAAGGGAAACTAACGCTGTCTTGTAGTCTATTCAATGCTGGTCAATTACTAATCGATTAAAAAATAAACGCAAACAAGTCTAAGCTATACTGTTTCGACCCCGAAATAAACAAATCATTGTTCCGCAGTATGTTAAATTTGGTTCTGACTCAATAGAAATCGTGGAATGCCTGAAGGTATTAGGAGTGCACTTCAGTAGTCACCTTACTTGGGATGACCACGTTAATTCTGTAATGATAAAATTGTCTCGCATTGCAGGAATTCTTAGCAAACACCGCCCCTTAATTCCACTTAAAGTTAAGTTACTGCTTTATAAATCTTTGTTTGAATCTTATCTAAATTACGCTCACCTAGTTTGGGGAACTACTACGCTTGCTAATAAAAATAGACTCAATTTACTGCAAAAAAAAATCCTTGCGTTCCATTTGGAATTTGAGCTTCTCGGCCCACACTAGTCATTTATTTAAGAAATACTGCATTACCAAAATTTTCGATCTTTATAATGTAAGATTAGCTCTTAGCTTCAAGAAAGAACTAGCGAAAAATTGCAAAAATTTATCTGAGCTGGCCTGCCTTTGCCCGAATGCGCCTGTATACACTTGCAGAAACACTGAACGATGGCACGTGCCCACCTTTCGTACATTATACGGTTTGCAAACATTATCTAATACTTTGCCGCGCTTACTGAACAAACTGGAAGCAAGAAACATAGATATGACGCGTACTTCCAAAAAGGAAGTGCGTAGATTGATAGCGTCATCCTGGTAAGGTTTCTTTTTTCTTTTTTTTTTTTACGTCGCCCCTTTTGTTATCGCCAAGCGTCTATAGATTCTGCCTTGCGGACCTTCGTTACAGACCTTCTTTTTACTCCTTCTCTTTGCTACTCAAATTTTTCGCGCCTTCAACAACAAACATTACTTTTTTTTCTGTGTGTACCGTTTTAATGCATTATGCATCCAATTTTTCGGGCCTTCAATTACTAGCCGTTGGTTTTCCTATGTGTAACGTTTTAGTGCATATGCATCTCAGTGTGGGTGATACCCTGATTGGTGTAACCATTTTTTTTTTGAAGCGCTTATTCCTGTTATGTTGTGTGCAGTAGCTTATATGTATACTTTTTATTATCAGTCTTTCTTTTACCGGTGCATCTTTTTTTGTAAATTGACACTATTTGCACTTTTGTATGTTTCAGTATTGCCTCGTCGTTTCTCTTTTTCTTGTTTGTAGCATTCCCATGTTTTTCGAGTACAATATCGTTTCTTTGTTTAGTTGTTAGCGTGCATATATTTTTTACTTGCATATTTTTTGTTATCGCAATAGAATTGCGATACTTCGGTGTGTTGTGTTTATTACTGTAAATTTCTACAGCATGCATATCTGCCGTCTGCTGCTGACATTTGAATTGGGCTGACGGGCCTGTCAAGCTGCTTGTATGCAGCTTTTGTCGTCAGCCTTTCAATGTATTCACGATAAATAAATAAAGTATACCACATAAAAAAAAAGTAGTGCTGTGTGTATAAAATGAAGTGGTTGTTCAAGTGGGAAGTTGTAACTTAAGTAGCAGGCCGTCGTCAAGCCCTGTTATTAGTTTCTTGGTTTTCTTAGCGCGCTCCAGGTAGCCACGCCGCACTTCCGGCACCTGAGGTACCGTGTTTGTGTCCATTGCCTCATGTGAGGCACTAGACGCCCGCGTACCGAGCTGCTGTTGCGTATTATTGACGTCGCCTGGTGAGATGTGGTCGGTAGACCCAACAACCCTGGAGCCGCCTGAGTCTCTGGCTTGGTAGGTGGAGCTGGCTTGGCTGCTTCTACCACGGGGGCGGCCGCCACATCCGATGGCTCACTTTGCGTGGGCCTGGGTGGTGGTAGAGGGTGATGCGACGCTGCCCCCTGACACGCCGCATAAGTGTAAGTTGTGCCATAAAAAGCCAAACACCTTCGACGTGCTTCTTTGAAGAAGATGTTTTCGCGAATCTTCAGTGTAATAATGTCTTTTTCTTTTTTCCACTGTGGACAAGAACGTGAATATGCCGCTTGGTCTTTATGACAGTTTACACAATGTGGGGATTCATTACATTTGTCAGAGACATGGCTTTGGGCACCACATTTTGCACAAGCAGGTCGACCACGACAGCTCTGAGAGCCATGGCCGAACCTTTGACTACTGATAACATCGGCGGGGGTTTGGTATGTAGGGTCTGACCAGTGTCTTAGTATAGCCAGTTTCTATTCTTTGTGGTAGTTCACTAGTGGCAAATGTCAGTACGAAGTGTTTCGTGGGGGTTTCCTGATTGTTCCTTCGGATGACAATTCGCTTCACATTGGTCACATTCTGTTGTAGAAATTGAGGCCTAGCCCACTGGCTTTGCGCGGGCTTTGCCGCTTTTTCTGCCGTTCTCATGTCCCGACATGTCTGCCCTCCTTTGCTGTCTGCCGCGCTGGGGGAGAGGAGTGACGTTTAACCCCCTCACCCGGTAGCAGATGTTGACTGTGGCGCTGCGCGCAGAGTCTCCCAAGAGGAAAGGTTTTCGCACGCTGTGTCGGGAGCGGGCAGACAGATACTCTCCGGGACTTCAAACGGTGAGCCACGCAATCTTTTCCGTCCGCCGACTCCTGTCGCTCGGGGCTCGTCGGACTTCGCTGACGGCGCCTCGCGCCCGAGGTGAACGCTCACCTTTTGTTGCCCCACTGCGTACGCACGGCCGAAGGGCGGTACAGTGTCATAGTGCGTGGCCTCGCTACGCCAACCCGTCTCCCTCCGAAGCCGCGCGAGCGCTTTTGCCCTCGCTCGAGCAACCGGGCCTTGGTCCCGGTGTGTCCGTGGATCACCTTTACCGCGGAGACGTGCTCGTCGCACCCTGTGTAGTACTTTTGTGCCTGTTGCGTGGATAAGCCTATTTGCTTTCCCGTTGCGCCTTTGCAACGGGCTGTATTGCGTTTGGTGTTGCCACAATAAAATGTTGCGACTTTGAGCAGTATCGTGTTCTCGCCACGGCGACGGTTAACGCGTGCCCTGCAGCTCGCTAAGACCGGACCTACGCTGATGGCCGTACTCCTTCGGGATACGTGTACACCACACTGTTCTTTCCAGCCCTCGAGGAGTTCAGCCTCCTCCAGCTCAAGAAGGTCTGTGTCGGAAACAACTGCACGTGCGGAGTTCATGGATCGATGGGGTGTTACGCTAATGGGAATGTCGCTGAATGTTGCCAGGTTCTTTAGCTTGTCAAATTGATTTTTGTCCCAAACTTCTAAAAGAAGGCCTCCACTAGCCATTTTTGTAACTTTATAACCATCACCTAACGTAGCTGTCAGTGATTGTGATACTATGAATGGGGACACTGTTCTGGCTGATTTTGTTGGACTTCTCACTGTGTACGACATAATAGCGGGGGAATACTTCTTCGGGTCAGCTGAAAAAAAAAAGTTCTTTAGTGCATACCCGCTTTGACGCGGCACGACCACTGAGCAGTGGAAAAGTTCTATAAGTGATATTGGAATATAATTCAGTAACGATGGCGGCCACCCACTACGGAGCCCAACGAAGGGACACTACAAGATTTGTAAAATGAGAAACATGCAGACGCCAGCCAAGGTTGGCTAGTTGCACAAGGTTAACCCAAGCCGCCTATGAAAATGGGGAAGTAACAGAAGAGATTAGAAGACGAGACAGATGAGAAATAGGATAGTAAAGAAAAAGATCGAAGAGGGGTATAGGAAAAGGCGGCTGCCGATTTCTCCTGGTTGGGTCAGCCCATGGGTGCCGTCTGCCTGAAGCCAGGGGCAAAGAGGGTGTGTTGCCTCTGCCTTAAAGGTGAAATCCATTGGAGTTGGCTCAACCCCCAGGATCCCCTTTTGCCCATACATGGCAAGCCACGCACGTCTAAGCGTGGGAGGTAGTCGGACCCCACCCCCGCTAGCTCGGGTCCGTGGCGTCGCTACACACCAAACGCCTGCTTACCAGACGCCCCAGCGGGCTACCAACTTCATCTCATCTGCCCACCTAACTTTGTGCCTTCCCTTCACGCGCTTGCTTTCCTTCCCTTGAAATTCATTCTGTTACTGTTAAGACTAGTGGTTATATTGCCTACGTGCTACATGACCAGGCCATGCCCATTTCTTCTTCTTAATTTTGACTAAGATGTCCTTATATGACCCATAAACAACCTCGCAGTCGAAATTTCTAATGGAGAAATAACTGGGCAAAAAGGCTGGTGCAAGAACTTTGCGAATAAATGCTGCAATAAGGAAGTTACAGGGTTTAGAACAACATGCTTTGGCTGGTTTTGGTTTCTCGCTCATCTTTCCCACTCCTTTCACGTAGAGTAGGCATAGCCTGTTGTTGCGACCACGCCCACTTTGCTAACATAAAGCAATGTTGGCAATATGCCATTGGTGCTCAGCTAACGAATGAGTAAGGCTACGCACATGCCATAGTGGTGAAGGGAGGTGATGGGGTACGAGGAGTACGAGGCACAGGTGATGTATGCACTTTTTGTTTAGAGGTAGAGAGATGCCTCTTCATCTCGGAGGCTTTTGTTCTGGCAATATTGCTTCTCCCGCACTCTCAAGTTCTACAAAATAGCAGAGGGCAACACAGGAAAACGAAAAAAACGCAAACTGAAAGGCCAAGGCACTGTTTTGTAGTGCAAAGACCCAATCGACAAGCTCAGGGGTGCGTAATGTTGCCCATAGCCAAGATATCATCAGTGGACAGGCGTAGGAAAAAAGTACAGGAATAGATTTTCCGAAATGGAAGGTTTGTGCAGCGCACATTGCTGTAATATTTGCAAAATGTATTTGCCGCAGTCTAGTGTAGCGTACGAATTAGCAAGCTTAGTTGGGGTGTGTGAAAAAAAGTCTGAGCTTGTTTACTGGCCCTTTAACATCCATTTATTCCCGACCCACTTTGCTCACTTTGATTTGCTGTGCCAGCAGCACTATGATGGGCACCTACCTGTCTGTACGGCATGCGAGAGCAGGATGTGTTTGTGCAGTCGTTCTCGGCCATGCACGTAGACAGAGCACACCGAGCACTGCAGGTGCGGACCCGGCTGGTCTTGCAGGTGGCGCTGCTTGACGTGGAAACGAAGGCGGCCTGGCCTCGGTGTGCAGTACCCACAATAGCGGCAAGTGTACGTCTGCATCCGGTGCGCTGCCTTCATGTGGCTGTGGTGCTGCTCGAAGGTGGACGAGGCCCACGAGCACACGCTGCAGAAAAACTGGCTCGCCAGTTCAGCCACTGCTGACTCAGCGACAAGTCGCACAGTCTTGGAGTGAACCTCCGGGTAGTGGTCGCGTACCTGAATTCCGTGGCAATGAATAAATCTAGGAAGTTAGGAGGTGGTGATGCTAAGTGGCACAGCATTCGTGTAACAAATGAACAATGCGCCAGCCAACAGCCAAGATCACTGAATATACCTAAACACAAGAAACAGTCAACGCTTGAAAAAAAAAAAAAAAGAGCCATACTCGCAGCAAAAAACTTCACGTTACTAAGTCGAATTTCTATGATTTGCAGTGAAGAGAAAAGCTAGTTGGTAGGCTAGTACAAATATTCCAATGATTTGAATATTTTAACAAATATAACAGCATTTGAATTGTATTCGCTTTGATTTGAATTCAAAATACTGTATTTACTAGCATAATGAATGCACTCGTAAAATAAACGCACAGCCAACTTCGGTCGTCAAAATTAAGATTTTTTTTTTTTCTGCATAATAAACTGACCCCTTACATTCATCTGCTGCAGTCCCGCTAACCGACACCTAATGCCCCTTTGCCCGTTGGATTTCTTTAGTTTTTTTATTATTATGCCGACCCCCCCCCCCCCCCCCCCCCCGGCCACCAGCCCCCCTTTTGCCCACTGCCACATGTCGTATTGTTTTTCTTACTATCTTTGCACGGCATGTCTCCTGCCTTCTTTAATTATTGTGCGCCACAGCGGGGTTCACGAATGGTGCGAGTGTAGAGACATCGCAGCTGACAAGCACACAGAGAGCGAAGGTAACGAAACTGCCCGCGCCAATGGACGGTCCTTCCTACAAATACAAAACTTTAAGGCCCAATCACATGCACACGATTTTCGAGCAACGACGACAAGATTTGCTGTCGCCAACGCAGTCCCGAAAGGCTGTTCGTCGCCATCGCGTTGCAAGTTCCTGGAAAACCTAAAAAAATCGCTTGTCGCCAAGAAAAGATCATGACTATTTCTGCAACACGAGAGCAACCCCGATTCTCCCATCAGTGGCAATTTGCTCTTCATGCTTGTTATCCGTGCGTACTTCTACCGTAACTTTTGATGTAGACAGTGAGGTGGCGGCCGTGTTTTGTTGTTAATGTTGTATTCGAAGGTTTGTTTTGATGTTTCGGTGGTTGCTTGCTGCAATGATGGTTACTTGCTGCAATGTCAACGGCATTGTCATGGTAGTTATCTGAGGTTGCCACGAAGTTGACGAAGTGTGTCGTAGCATACACTTATGGGTGCCCTTCCTGATCACAGTCAGCCGATACCACTGTTGTGGTTAAACAAATTGCAGGAGAAGGCTGCGAAGCGCTTTTACGGAGTGCGTGGGTGGCGCAGAGACAGCTTGCAAAAGATAGCGCCTTAAATTACGGAAGATAAGTGAAGTGCAACAAGAAGCCGTTTCGAAACAGTGTACGAGTGTGTCAATTGGGAAAGGCTAAGCGACCTAACTTTTTTTGTATTACTGCATTTTTCGTTCATTCCGAAAAAGCTGTTATAAAATTGGCCCCGCATAATAAATGCGCCTCACACTTTGCTCCGATTTTTCGAGAAAAAAAAAAAAAAAAGAGGGGGCATCCATTAATCAGGTAAATATGATAATTACAATTTTCAAAGTTTGTAATGAACTAATAAATGTGTAATAATCTGCATGTAACCCCTGGAAAAGCGGCTGTAAAGGTGGTTCCACAGCACTGCAGTGATGCTAAACCATTAAAACATTTATCAAGGAGAAATTACACTGCCGCAAAGCCCCACTTCAAGGTTAAATGAACATATCACCCGCACATCAATTCATAGTATTTGACGTTAGAAAGCTTGTTATACCGGGCTATATGCTCTAATATAGTAAATGTTAAAACATAACTTATTTACAGCTTATTATTTGCATTCTACGAAAAGTCAAATCTTGCTCCTATTCAATGTTGTTTCCATTTCCTTTAAACAAACAAAAAATTGCATTTGCACAGACCTTGTATCAATTAAAGAACAATATATATTGCAACGCGGACTGAAAGAGCGAGGAGGAAGAGATCGGACGCTCTCGAGCCATGGTGATTCAGCAGTGACGGTAGAGCACTGACATATTTCAGTGTAAATAAACCCATCACATCTGTAACAATATATATATATATATATATATATATATATATATATATATATATATATATATATATATATATATATATATATATATATATTGGTCTGGTGAGGTCTTGGCACATATGCAAATTTTTCTTTAGAGCATGTGACATACACCGTAATTACTCGAATCTAACGCGCACCTTTTTTTGGTTAAGCGAGTTCACAAATCGCCTGCGCGTTAGAATCGAGTACGAAAAAAAAAACGAATACAGACATTCTATTGCCATCGGCACTTCCGAAATGGCCGCCCCCTACGTGCGTCGGCATGGCGTGTCGGCCATTTCTGCCTATGGGTTTCCCATGTGCGGCACTTCGTACGTGTGCTGAGGAGTTAGTTATCTTGTAGTGCACTAGCATCGATGACATGGAAGGGCCGACTCCAAAAACTCTAGTGCACCACGATGCCGCTTTTGAAAGAAGAGTCATTGCGTATGCAGAAACGGACCGAAATCGGGCCGCATCGCGGTCGTTTGGAGTTCCCGAAATGTGCGTGCGGGACTGGCGGAAACAAAAGCAGAAGATTGTCGACAGCAAAGCTTCATGCAAAGGCTTCAGTGGACTACAGCAGGGTCGGTTTCCGCAAATTGAAGAGTTGCTCGGCAAGTATGTGCATGAAACGTGCGTGCGGGACTGGCAGAAACAAAAGGAGAAGATTGTCGACATCAATGCTTCACGCAAAGGCTTCAGTAGACTATAGCAGGGTCGGTTTCCGCAAATTGAAGAGCTGCTCGGCGAGTGTGCATGAGCAGCGAGCGGCACAGCGGCCCGTGACGACAGAACTGCTCCAAGTGCGGGCTATGCAGTTAGCCTTAGAAAAAAAGCTAATGCGGAGCCAGTTTAAAGCAAGCAGGTGCTGGCTAACTAACTTTATGAAGAGGAAAGGCTTTTCCCTCTGAAGGCCAACAGGCATATGCAAAAAGCTTCCGACGGCAATGCTAGGTTGCTCGTCAGATGGGCACAAGCTTCCCATGTACCTCATGTTTAAACGGAGGGCGCTTCCGAAAGGAGTCGTTTTCCCAAGTGGTGTGATCGTGCGGGCCAACGAGAAAAATGGGTGCGCGTTGCAATCGATGCCTTACTTTTTTTTTTTTTTCGTCGTGAAAACCAGGTGCGCCTTACAATCCAGGGCGCGGTAGAATCGAGTAAATACGGTACTATTTGAATTCAATATGAAATTATTTGAACAAAGTAACTATTCGCTTTGAACCTAAAATTCACTATTCACACAAGCCTACAACTACCACATTTCCCACATTTTTGAAAATGTTGAACACATTTCTTGAAACATCTGGTATATTTGGAATTGACTGCAACTGTGACTCCCAACCAATGCAATACCTGCCACATACATACCAATAGTCTAGTAGATGTTTCCTTGATTATTGACTCAAAGAATGCACAATCAAATCTAGGCCGCAGCGACTGCAATTCAATTGAACCAAAATGCTAAAAGCCCATGTGTTTAGATTGAGGTGCACATTAAAGAACCCCAGCTAGTCAAAATTATCATAGCCCTCCACCATGGCATATCTCATAATCATATTGCCACTAGTTGTTTTGGGAACATAAACCAGTAACAATTATTACCACTGACACAAGCTCCCATTCATTTCGTATATAGAAAGTCACGAAGGAGTTCACATGGAGGCTCATGTAAACAGATCTGTTAAAATCAAAGCATGGCTTTCAATGTCACACACAAAACTTCCTCAGTCAAGCCAAGGAAAAGTAATGCAAGCAAGGGAAAGTAATGTAAATTTGCAAATGTTGCACATCACATTGATTTCTGCTCACCTCTGAGAGGGTGCGCAGAGTGAGGTCGCAGAACCGACACGTGGAGTTCAGTGTGGTGTCCTCAGTGACATCTGGGGGCACACACACAAACACCACAGCCTCGCTGAACTCTGCCTTGGCACTATGCACGGCTATTTCGTGGATCACATGGTAGTGCTTCTCCAGGTCAACGGGGAAACGGAACACATACTTGGACTGGCAGAACAGGCATTGCAGGCTGGTGTCGTTAGGGGAGAACACCTGCAACCAAAAGCAGCAATGCATTTCACCATTCTAAGAAAGAAAAAGAAAAGTGTGCCACAGCATTGGGGGTGAGCGAATATATTAAAATTTTGAACAAAAAATGGACTAAGTGGTTCGGTCATCAAAGCAAACAATTGATATTTGTCAGTAACACCTATTTCTTAAATTCCTAGTTTACAAATACTTATGATGTAGAGATCTGATGCACACCCACCTACTATGCACGGGCATTTTCGCCGTACTGGCGCTCCCTTGCCTTCTCCCATGCTCGAATGTGACAGCGCATAAAAATATATGGTGCCGCGTGTGGTCTCTAGCTGCGAGAGTCGGCAGGACCGAGTCAGGTGTGTGCCAGGGATGCTCTCTATATCGCTGGACTGTAGCCTGCCTGGGTGCCCCGTAATCCTTGGCCGCTGTGTTTACTTTTGTGCTAGCTCCAGATCCGTACGATAAGTCAAAGAGCGGTGCTTAGTGCTCGTGTGTAGTCGTGCTACTCTGAGCCACACTTGCCACACATGCACGCACTTGCCGCACATGCACGAGATATGCCCGATCTCTCGTGACCAGGCCCAGTGGTCATAACAGAAGTGTGCAGCATAGCCGCATGGGACCTTTTCTCAAGCAGCGTATTAAAGCTTGCTATTGCCAGCCACGACGAGCGCACGGTTTCTCCTTTTGGTTTACTGTCTGCGTGTGGGAGCCCTTTGCATGTTGGGAGTGGACGTTCTACCGTATCTAAAAGAAATTGTTGTCGGGCTAGTTGGTAGAACATTTCACAAAATTAATGTGTGTGCGTGTGTGCGCGCACACATACACACACGCGCGGGCATCAAACAAACATGCACTGTGCACGTGTTTGCGCTCGAATTAATTTATGTACTCTGTTTAAGGTGCCACCAAAGAGAATGAAGTGTTTGTGGGTCTGTTCTGTCGCACGGCACTAAATGCTTTGCTAGCTGAACGCAGGTGGAGCACTGCGCTATACAGGAGCAGGCTATACACAGCCCTCTGGCTCGCTAAGCCTGAACCCGTGCAGATTTCGACTACGGTGAGTACCGAGGTTACCTCATAGAATAAGTTATTAGCGTAGGTTATGAGAGCTTATGTAGTGCAGCAGCCTACCCTCTTAGGGGGTCTGATGTTATTGGCCTTTTTGATGATCATTTGCACTGTCTAGCATATTGTGTGCGTGAAAAATTTGCCTATTTGTTTCAGATTCACCATTCATGTTCTCAATGCCTAAATTATGAGCACTGGTATTAGAATGCCATATTACACAATCTGTAAGAATGACTGTTCAATATCCCTAAGCCATTCATAAAAAACAGACTAGCTTTTTCAGGCTCTATTCGATTAGGCCTCAGAACTCCATATTTACATCCCTCTATGTGACACTAACAATACACGACTTGATGGACAACACGATTGTATTAAGGAACGAGTAAGTTTACTGAAGTAGAAGAAGCCCCACCTGTCGGAAGAGGAACATGCCGATGAGGGAGTCCGCGTTTTCAGCCTCGGCCAGTGGGAGTTCGCTTTCTACCAGCTGCACTGTGTTGGGCAGCTTGAGAGTGTGCGTGTCATCCACGGCGTCATTGGTGCACTCCTCCAGGCTCATCTGGGTGCTGCTCCTCTTCCGATTGCCTATCACACCTTGTGGGTTGCCAGCTCCGGTAGGACTTGTTACGCTTGGCACTGCTGTACCAATGCTGCCGGTAGCACTGTCCTGTGGAAAATAAATTCAACAAAAGCTCAGTACAACACACACACACACACACACACACACACACACACACACACACACACACACACACACACACACACACACACAAAAAAAAAGAGCATTTTGATAGTTCCAATGCAGGTTAGCCCTTCCAGTCATGGTGCATACAATTGTACATGCTAACTTCGATGGCACACCATGCACTGTCTGTTTCTTTAAATGGCTTGAAACTTGGCGTGCACAATTGTGCAGGCTTCCTTAGTGGACAACTAGCCATTATTAAACATTCGTTATGCAACGCATTGCTGCAGAGGATCACTTCGCTGGATACACTACTATGTTAGACAATTGTTCGACGCACTAGTTCCAAGACCAACATCAAAACTTTTTTTTCGTCACTCGAAACTAATAAAAAGAAACTGTGCATGCATGTCAGGCCTAATAGTTAATCTTTTTATGCAAATATAGAAGCTGCCTAATTGCAGAATAATTAGATACTTAGTTACATGCTCATCAACTATATTTACTGAAGCTCCCTCAAAACGAAGAGTTCCGTCATTTTCTTTCCCAGAATGTAACACTGAGTGCTTAGGAATCATGTCATGCGAATTTGATGCATTTTCAGATAATGCATCATAATTCGCGATTGAAAGGGCTTCAGAGGGTGTGCAGTGGGCAAGGTTCTGTTTGGTGCCTCATAAGTCGGTTGGTTGCCAGACTTGGGGTATTTGCCCCTGCACTACCGGCTTTCCAGCATGGTTCCTGTGTAATGCGTTGTGCAAGTGCAGTCTCTTGACATCGGCCGTTTAACTTAGTGGGCCCTGTGTGTTGCTGAAGTGCAAGCTCCCTTTTTTCTCTGTAAGTTCCGTTTTGCAATTAGCAGATCAGACTGGATCGTGCCTCGGAAGTAGGAGGTTCACACATTTTGACTCGATGGTGCCTCAAAAGAAGGAATTCCACGGGCAACGACGGATTTACCAGGGGAACTGAACGGCATCGCAAAAGTCCGCACGCAGCGTGAGCAGCATTGCGACACATCGTTGTTGTCGAAGTATAGAATGCCTTCGAAGGTGCGCATTCCGTTCTGGCTCCTTGGTGGCTCAGGTGACTCGGGCTCATCAGGAATGCTGGCAAAATACTGAGAATCCCGACGCGGCACGTAGGTTACTGGTGCCTTAGTGACACGGGCACAGTACGGATGCTAGCAAAATAATGAGAAGCCTGAATCAAAAAACAAGATGGGAGCCGACAGATGGCAACAATGTAGTTAGATAATCAGGGTGAACAGTGGAAGTGCCTCAGACAGGCTGGCCAACGTTTCGATAGGGGGACCTATTTTTCTCAAAGGTGCCGTGTCATCCTTGGCGTGTTAGTTTTAAAGGGGTTAGTAGAGACAAACTACTAACTCTTTTTAAACTAACAAGCCAAGTGACAACAAACACGCATTGGTGAACATAAAGTTCACTGAAATAACACTATTTGCTGTGACAATGCAAATAAGCCGAAAAACACGACAAGCGACTGGAAAATTCCACAAGTGACTCAACGAAAAAAGAAGCCCAAATCTGCTTACTATAAGCGGAACTGACAACTCTGCTCATTGCTTTGTGGCTTGTACACGGCGGGCTGTTTCCACCTATCACTGCAGCTAGGCAGGGGTGCTCAAAGCCCAATTGCTATTAGGTCCCTATTTCTAGAGGCTATAACTATATAGCTAAAACTTGCTACCGGCAACTGCGGAGGCATGCGCGCGCAGGGAAAGCTCAGTTTCGAGCTTGCCACGGCTCTTTCTGATGTCACTCTATGGTACCAATGCGATGGGAACATAGTGGCCAGCATATAGAATAACTCAGGTGATTAATTTCCACTTTACTGACTGGGAGGCGCAGGCCACTAATCTGCCCGTTCCTGTTGCTCGCCAACGCGTCATGGTTATAGACCTTTTTGCTCTTTACAAACGCAGGCGCTAGACAGCTTCCAGTTTTGTGAGCTGGTGTAGCTAAAGTAGCATTGAGGGGAACAAAAGCCTTGGTGACCAGCCCGTACATATCCAACATTTTTCTCCCTGTGTCTGGCCAAATATTTCTTAAATATATAACCTCCTAAGTTGCACACAACACTATAAGAATTAGTTATTTACAATAAGAGCCTTCCTTTCACCTGAAAGCGAAAAAATAGTCTTTTTGGACTCTGGCATAACTTGTAAGACATGCCTTCTGCTTCTGTGTTAAAAATCACTGCCATATCCACAAAGTGAATGATGTGGCAGGAGTTTGCTCGGAGGTGCATTGGACATTTCTTCGCGAGACTATATCTGTAGGAAGGCTTGTTAACGAGCTGGCGCATGATGTGTACGTCAAGGGCAGCGTTGTTCGGCACGTTCCATGGCCGGCACTGCACAGTGTTGGCCACATCGATCGGCACGTTAACCATCAGCTCTTTTATGCCATACTGGCTGCTGCTGTGAATAAAATGCCTAACGCTGCTCAATGGTTGATGTGGAGCTATCAGGTGTCCTTCAACTGGGGTTGAGAGCAGGGAGGTGAGGGGGCTATGAAGGATATCGGTAGCCGTGTGTAACACTCATCGTAGAAACTTGTCACCGTGCTGCCGTGCCTACAAAGCGAAGAGAATGAAGTGTAGTGGCAAGAATCCTCCTTGCTCTGCCAGCTTGCCAGACATTTTTTTTTTTTCTCTAAAACCGGAGGGGGGGGGGGGGGGAGGTGAATTCTTCAGGAACTCAATAAAGTTTTTCATCTATTCGTCCATCTCAACCCGGCTCAGAGGCAGCGTGCGCGGCGAGACAAAAACACCACTGACACCTTCTTCTTTTCCTTTCTCTTTCACATTCCTTTCTCTCCCCACTACACATCCCCTGTGTGACGTTGTTGAGGTGACCTCCTGAGAGACACAGTTATGACACCACACTTTTCTTTTCACTTCCCTTTCTTTCAAAGTCACTTCAAGGAGATGAGTGCGCGGGCCATCAAAAACCGACCCCTTGGGTGGCGGGGTGCCTTCTAGTGGGTATTGTTGCAATCACCAAAGAGGCGACCTTCAGCGGCGACCGTAGAGATGTACACACTGCCAACACTGGTGTACACGCCGGCAGCTGCTGCCCGACAAGCCACGAGCAAAAGGAGCAAGCTCTTAAAGGTGACCATTCAAGTGACTGGTAGTTTCTTGGGTGCTGTGGCTTTCACAATCTTTAAACCGATGAAAAGATGATAACAAAAAAAAATATTTTCTGAAAATTAGTAGGAGGCTGAATATCGCTTTTTACGTGCATGTGCGACTGTGTGACGCACTCGGAAGGCTCAGTCGTATGGTCACCGATAGGTAGAAAAAAATTGTGCATAACTTATTCTGTCGTAAATAATGGTTTAAGACACACTTATTTCAAATACCCATTCATAATGCCGGCCACTGCAACACTTTAAAATACTAAAGCTTGAACTTTTTTAGTTAAAGGCATAATATTTCATGCTTTGATGTTGAAATAAATACTTTAACCAGGTCGAAATTCAAAAAATCAATACACAATGGGAATGGCCACTGTTTTGGTAGGCAGGTTTCAAAACAAATACTGTGCTGGAAGGCAGGGAACCCAGCTTAGAATTCCACTGTGTCCTAGCTATTTACTAAGTTTCGTTTTTCTTATTTCGCGCAATAGTGGCTACGGACATCGGCGGCGGACCACTGCAGCACACCCGACCCTTGTTGCGATCTCATAACAGCTTTTGCTGCAAAAAAAGGTGGGGGAGTGGGGCATATTTGGGGCGTGTTTCCGACACAGAACAGTGTCTATTTCATGTGCCTTTTGTGCGTTATCACCGCAGGCCCAGTACTCCTTGGCCGACATCAGCATGACATAGCCTTCTTGCTATGAAACGCGCAGTTCTGGAGAAAGGAAACAAAGACAAGCCAGACAACGAGTGTTGCAGTTTAGTTGAAAGACACTGCAAGTACTCCTGTTCGCTTTAGTGTGTCGATCCGTGAGAACAGGCGTGAAAATTACAAATAATACGATAACATCTAGGTTCTTACATGCCAGAACTGATAGTAGGAGAACCCAGATAAATTGTGACCACCTAGGGGGCTTTCATGATCACTCGGATGTTTAAGTACACAGGTTTTAACTGCTACCTTTCCCCGCATTGTAATTCGGCTACCGTGGCAGGAACAGAACCAGCGGCCTCGTACTCACTAGTCATTATGGCGGGCACAACAGGTTCTGTTCTTTTTGCTACCACATAAGAAAAGATAAAGTTTATTCAATATGCGAATTGAGCCCGAGACGTCACTGTTGCAAGTGCAACTATTTCACACCGTCTTATGTTTCCTGGCAAGTACAGATAGAGATATTTGTTTGTGCAACAACAGGCTGAAATAGCTAACAAGAGTACCGTTTTCAAGATAAAAATATGGTAAAGTAAAAAATTGCTGGAGAAAAAAATTGCATCTCTTGATCATTCAATATTCGATTCCTATTTGAAAATTTTGGTATTTGCACACACCTACTCGCCAATTAGCCTGAGCAATCACTTTGCTGCCCAAATTTGTTGCTGTCAGAGTTGCTCAAAACAAATTTGTGCATTCAGTAGCTTACGTAGCCCCCCCCCCCCCCCCCCCCCTTGTACAGCCACATGTGAACGCTCATTCAAGCAGGCTCAATTTTCCATTTGAGGTTGCTTGGCCATAGCAGCTGCTTATAGAGACATAAAAGCCAATAATCTCTAATACTACAAGCTACAACATGAATGAACTTAATTACGACCCACTATAAAGAAAGCATGCTCATCTACAAAAAGAACAATTAAAAACAAGCTTGTCAATAAACAATATGATGGGGCTAAAAAACAGTAAGTCATAGCACTAATGAATTCCAAGATGGATGAAATAAATGCCACCTCACATATACACATACCGGTGGAATGCGTCAAAGGTAGGCTTGTACAGCAGTAACAGAGCACTGAGTGTTCAAGAAATTGAGATGAACATGTTCGATTTTCGAATTGAGAAATCATAATTTCACAACTTGTCTGCGTGCTGTATTGTTCACATTATTGCACAATGAGCAGACTGAGAATGATAGCAAGGTATAACTAAAAAAATTAACTTTTCTTGTGTCACCAATAGCTTTCTGCATATGTTGCAAGTTTTGGTTATGCTCAGGAGGGGTGGAAGCAGACTTCTGTCTTTTGGAGCAGCCTTGTGAGCAGGAATAATGTGGTTTTAGAACAGTTTTGGAGCAGCTCTGGAGCACCAAAAGGAGTGTTGAGGAGCATAAAAATTCAGTTTTGGAGCAGTTTCTTGGGTCAACATCACTGTTAATTAGTTAACAGAATTTGTGCTTTCTTGTAAACAAAAAAAATTGCAGTGGCTTTTACTAAAGATTAAATGCTAAACAAGTGACCAGACTGTGATGTCAAATGTTGATGTTGTTGCAATGTTCAAAATGTGATTAAACCACCACATCCAACATGAACAGCAACTCCACACTAGAAATGAAATAATATAAAAGTTATTTTCATACTAAACCAATATAGCTCTTATTTAGTGAAAAACTTATATTCCAGTCATCGAAGTGCCAAAGATGACATGAAAACCGCGAAGAAATTTAGTCGGGCTCGCAGCGCCATTGCTAGCTTATTAAGTAAAATTTTTTTTAATACTATAGGAATTATATGGACACTCGACGGGTTCTTGCAGTAGCCGGCTTGTTCTGCGTAAACTACAAGTTGGTAACATTCTCCGTGCGTGGTACGTTCTTTCTGCGCGTAAAATTGCGCAAGCTGGGGTGATGAATGCTGCTCAAGCAGAGATTAAATGAGGCGGCCGATCTCAGTCGTTCGGAGGGCCCACACGATAGCATACCACCACGTGTTAGACCTGTCGTCGAATGCTCAAGCAGAGAGTAAACACATCGCCCATCTTGAACGAGCATGAAAAGCGGGGAAGGGGTCACTCAAGCAGCAGTGGTGAACTTTGATTATAAGGGCGTGGATGGGATAGCTGGCAGACGTGCGGCTTGTAAACTGTTCTACATCGTGCGCTCTCAACAGGAAGGGATTGCGCAATAAGAGCGTTTTTCCCTGGAGTAGCTGTACTTATTCTCTTATACCAGCGTTTTGTAGATTGTCGCGATATTGGATCCTAAAAGAGTTAGCTGTCAGCCTTTGTACTGTCACAGGGTCGCCATGTTGATGGAGGCAGCAGCCGCTGTTTTCATGTGTGCACTTTTAATTTACGTTTTCGTAAAAAAAAAAAAAAAAAAAAAAAAAAAAAAAAAAACAGCCTCAAGCCACACGAACACACATGGAGCCAGAAGCAGGCCAGAAGTACGAAGATTAGACAAATGTGTGTACTACCCATCATTCCCATGCTTGCTGAAGCGCCGTGTGTTGTAGCTCCCATAGACACTAGCGCCAGAGTTCCCTCTAGTGTGTATTAAGAAACTCTATGCTCTACAGCACTCATTTCTGTGCTGAAACTAGACAATTTATCAAACTTCAGTTTCTTTTTGCAGCAATATTTTATGTGGCTAGGGCGTTCTGTCTACACCTACAGTGTCCTCTAGAAAGCAATGCATAAAAAAAAATTAACAGGGATGGTAGTTTGGCTTTTCCTTTTTCTTTTAATGCAAACGCCTAAGACAACTTGAAGGCAAGATTCATTTTGCGTTTAATGAGATAACAATTATATGGACATTCTTGACTGGTTTTGCTATTGCCAGGAGTGTAGCCAAAAGTTTAAAAAATTTGGAAGGGGGGTAGCACCTTGATCTCAAGGCGGGGGCAAGCAAAAGGCTATATTGTGCTATATATGCGATGGAGAAAACAACTTTGGAAGTGGAGGGGCGCACGTTCCCAATGTGTCCCCCCCCCCCCTCCGGCTAAGCCACTGGCCGTCATGTTTTGTTTAACTTCTGAACACATGGCTAAAAGAGCGTGAACAGAGGCGACAAACACGGCTAAAGCAGAGATAAGAATAGCGACCTATCTCCTTAGCACTGAGGCCGGATGCGATAACATTATATCCATGCGCCAGGCCTCCAATCGATTCTTACTCAAGCAGAGAGGAACGCATTGCCTGAGTGGAAGGGACAGAAAGGAGCTAGAAACGCGAGGGGGAGGGGCATTGTTATGAACTTTGGCTTTAAGGGTGTGATCACTGGCGCACATGCCATTTACGGCTGGTATACCCTTCTACCTTTTACTATCAATACGAACAGACTGTCGGAAAAGTGCTCCACTTTCTAGAGCGGCACTGAGCCTTGATAGAACAGCGGCCCCGCCATCATTGCCCCATTTGGGAGATCAATTCATACGTGCCGCTCGTGCGGTACAGATAGAATCAAACTGGTCTAGAGCGGCGGAGCGCGTGCCTGTCGACACTGTTAGTAGCCGCGGCTTCTATCTCACATTAGCTACAAGCTTCCGTTGATGTCTACATTACAGCCGAAGGGCGTAACACGCAGTACGACCATGTTTGGTAGCATCACGGCGTCTCTCTTTACATATTTCTAAAGAAAACGCCAGCTAGTAGCGGCCGGCTGGGTGCTCTAGACAAGCCTGATTCCATCAGGTGCATGCATCGGCGTCCAAGAGATATTTCTGGGGTCTCTAATCACCCAAGTCGCGGATATCAAACACTGCGCATTTGCAACACTGCTGCTAACGCTTCTCACAGATGACGTCAAGCCTTATTATTTAGTATAACAATACAACTTAATGGTATCACGTTCCTTGCTAAGAGCATAAGTGAAACTAACAAATTATATCTTTTAGATCCGATATTGCCGATATCCCATAACTCAAAAGAACGCTGACTAAAGGGACAATGATCACTTTTAGATATGATATTGCCGATATCGCTTAACTCAAAAGAACGCTGACTAAAGGGACAATGATCACTCTAGTTGCCGAAGCTTTCGTGCTGTCAGTTATCTCAATGCGAAGCAGAGGTTAATAGCACAGAAGTTCAAGAGCAGTCTCATTATGCCTCGAGATAGCCCGCGAGCTACTTCAAGCGACGCAGCAGCCTCCGGCCCCTTTCTTCAATACGAAGCAATAAATGCGATGCCGTGTTAATTTTTTTTAACTGTCACCAGTTGACCTTGGAAAGCGAGAGGCGGACGTCTAACAAGGCATAGCCGCTTCACAGGTCTTCCGATACAAGAACCGCCAGCTATGGCCTCACTTATAACTCCGCGTATTAAAACCGAATTGCGGCTGCTCTGACAAGGAGGCATGCTTTTATAAATGAGATGATATTTAAAAATAAAGCACGCGAGACCTTTCAATTCGAACCCCAGCAACTTCGACATCGAAAGGGCAGGGGGTCTTTCAGGGGCTTTTACCGCCACAGCGACTATAAACACGGATGTACGTGCTGGTGGAAGAATTACGAAACAGCTCTTCTGTATGATAATTCATCGAGAAAGTATACTAGAGGAGAAGTGTCAGTGCGTTCCCACCATTTACGTGTTCTCCTGCGGATGCGAAACACAGAAAATTAGATCACAACGTCCTGACATAGACGTGACAGACACTCTGGGGGCACCCGTGAAGTTATTAGTGAACATTTCTTTATTACGTGCCGCGCAACTATTCAAATGAGCTATCAGCAGCGTTCCTGGAACGGACGCCGTCCGCCGATGAATCGCAGCCACAGTTTTGCGCTACCAATTGGACTAGACACCAGGAGCCTTTGCGGAGAGCGAGTTTCGCCGTTAAGCGGACTTGTACAACAGAGTTGCGTCGATATTAAACATATCATAGTAGATTTTAGGACGCACGCACAACTGCTGTTTATTCCGTCTAATAATAAGTCGGTACGTGATTGTGAGTTTGGTGGCCCCAAGAACAAGGTGCACATGTACTGACGCGCCGGCATGGCTACTGCCGGTGATGGACCATCCCAAATCCGACTTTGGCGAAGTTTGGCGCAATTTCCATTGATATTATCAGGATGGCGCAGTAAATCTGATTTGGTTTACATTGGCGCAGTTGGCCCAAGAGTGGGATCACTGCACATAGGAAAATTTGGCTTAGTTGACGAATGCTCTCTGACAATAATCATACAACAAAGATAAACTACATACTGTAGTTAATGATACATACACACGGAAATTTGCTAAATGTTGGACAAGGCCTCTACCAGCTGGCATTAAAGTTGTGAATCAGTGCCTCATTCATCAAGGAATGAGTAGTACCGACTTGCAGGGTAGCATAACGTTGAAAAGTCTAAATACAGCACTTACCGGAGCAGATTCCTTAGCAGTAGCTTGCGCTGTTGCCATGCTCACAGCCGGTGCTGCTGGCATGCTGTCCTCGTCCTCAGCAGGGTCCGTTTCGTCCGTAGCGAGTGTGTCGGCACCACCTTCCCGCATGGCGCGCACCTTCTCGGTTGCCCGCTCAACCGCCTTCTGTCGGTCTGTGCCGCACACTTCTACCATGGTGCCGTCGGCCATTACCACAAACACGCGGTTTCGTCGAGTACGCGGCTGCGTTAGTTTCTTGCGACCACGTCGAGCCGCCAACATCTTGCGCTGTTCTGGTGAAAAGTGGTGCATCGGATGTGGTGGATATTTGCGCGGCCGGCCCACTTTCCTTTTGGGCACATCAGGCACAACAGACGCTGAGGGGTCTACATCTTCACCCACAACCTGGACAAAGCATAACCACCGTACATTGGAGAGCAGTAAATTAGACAGGAGTTACAACTACCTCGTGAGCGTGAAATTGGTCAATAATGAAATGGAGAGAAAAAGCACCACTGTAGCAAGCAAATAGCCCGCCATTAACAGCTAGCCATTAACAGCTCTTCTTGCCACGTACAGGCCACATAACACAGAAGAAAAACCTTGGTTTCCCATGAAATGTAACTTGTACGAACATACTGTGAAAGACAGGAGAAATAAAAAATAGGAAAGCTATTCGAACACCTATCACACATAATATTGCTACCACGCAACATGCAACTGCTGGATATGTAGCCAGTTTCTCAGTGTAATGCAGTCTTGTCTCTTTGTGATTCAAAAACCCTACTGCCACAAATGTAGGCAAACTTGTAAAAATCACAACAGATTCTTGTTGTTTTCAATGTGCTAGCACTTGAATTTACGCTGCTGGTGTAATGTGTGCTGCGTGCTAGTCAGTAGCCGAACTTGCACTGAATTTTGATATTCTTGCTTTGAAGCCTAATCAAAGACTATATCATCACTCGCAGCAGACAATAGATTTCCCAGCAATTTAGACGAAGGGTGTCAAAACTGATTTATACAGCTTGATTTGCCTTTTGTCGTCAGTTGCTCAGAATGGCATGCATTCACAAATGATTATTGTTCTATTCTTTACATTCACATACGTTATATAAAAAAGATGTTTACAATGTAGGGGCCTGCAAGTAGCAAATTTTAGAACTGAGTCAAATACGAATTGAATAGTGATGGCTCTAAATTGAATACGAATAAGAATCGAACAACATTCGAGTAGTTTTTTAATTGTAAGAAAACCATTTCCAGAACAACCTTAGGCTTCTATAGTGATTTATTTGAAACAACTATTCACTAGGTTTAAAAAGGAGCATTAGAATTGCTTTTAGAGGGCCCCTAACCAGGTTTGACAATTATGATCTGACGAGCGCTATACATACCCTGGGTGTTCACGATCATGTCTGCCAAAATTTTCAATGCTACGCACCACAGAAACAGGTCAAATGTGCAAACTGAATGCTGCTTGCTCATCTCCTCGTGGGCAGGTGCCCAGCGAATGAGGGGATGACGTACACGATGCAGTGGCCCTACGTAAATGGTAGTGCTGTGACGTCGCTGCCCCGGAATTGACAACTGTGCTCTGACATAGCTAACAGCAGCATGTGACACTGCAATAATTATTGAAGCATGACGTCTAGTTTGCATAATCCGTTGCTTGAACAGACGAATAAAACTTAAGAGCAATCATAGAGTTTCATACAATAGTAACTAGAAAGGAATCTGGCACTCCTTCAGCGGGCTTCTTCAGCGGGCTCCTTCAGCGGCGCTTGTACTCCCATGGGAATTATGGGAAGTACAGGCTTCGGATCTGCTTCCGAAGGATTACGCTCTTGAGATTCATGACTCTTGTTGGCAGAGTGTGAAACAAGGTGATATAAAGCTATGTGTAATTGAAACTTCCTTCATTCTTTTGTGCATGAATTTTGATGCAAAAAGTTTTTGTGCCCATGGGGTAGAAATGAAACCTGGACAAAGTTAACCACCAGGGTATGCATTACTCTGTCATTGCCTTTAAGATTCGGCGTCAAGATCTAATGAATTTTTTTTTTACAACACTTGCAAACAAAGTCTTGTTTTTCCATCATATATGCATTATCTATTTATGGAAATAATAGTACAGTATTAAGTGAAAAACACTTAACGTTTCATCTGCTGCGGTGCCAAGGTGCATCTGTCTAAATCGTCTGCCCCCAACGCACCTCTAGTTTTGTTGTGAAGTCGAGCCAAAGGAGTGTAACGGTGCGTCTACTTAGCTTCGGCATCATTTTGCAGTCAACTTAAACATGTTTTGGCAAGACAAGCTTACAAAAAAAAACAAGAACTCGATGTAATATTTTGCACTGGCATGAGACACTACATCTATGACAGCAGTGAGCGAGTGACGCTTCACTTAAACCATCAAATACGACTTATAAAGCTCCAAAGCCACAGCAAATCTCAGACCTAGCGGTCTGCAGCCTCTCTGAACAACAAAGGCGTTGCTTGGGTGCTTTGCACACCACCCCACTACCCACCCTTTGCAAAGAACGAATCTGAAATTAGAAAGAGATTCGTAAGCAGTTTGCTAGCTAATGCAATCCAATACGAAGCCTGTACTTCCCACAATTCCCATGGAGATACATGATTGCAGTGCCAGAATCCTCTCTAGGTATTGTTATAGAAAACACAATGAGAGCAACAATAAAACACAGACAAAATTTGTGCGTTTTCTTTTTTAAAATTTTCTGCAAATTTCTCTATGTCGAATGCGTTCTTGTTTTTGCTCTTTCCACATCGTGCAAAGTGCAAATGCCATTGCTTAAAACAAATCTAACAAAGCTAATTTTCTACAGCGTTCCAGTGCTCATTAGGCGAATTATTCATCGCGTGTCTGACTGAATATTCATGCGGCACACTGCTAGTTTGCGTCCATACAAATATCACAGCTTTTATTTTCAGTAATAGATTGAAAGCCAAGTCATCGGCGAGGGTGCATTTGGCATAGCTTGCAGAGACAAAGAGCAGAGAATGCCGCCACAACACTGCTCCCGTCTCAGGGCACAGTTGCTAATTTAGTGGCCGTGCTCGGTGGGGCTCAGGTTGGTCCGGGCATGTCATGCGCTCTGTGACATCGTGTGCACATGATGTGATCCTGCCACTCACACACCGAAGAGGGCAGGGAAAGAATTTGGCTAGTGAAAGCTACAACACAGGGCGAGCGCCAAGGGTTTCAAGCTCGCCTCCTCACATAATGATTTCGCGTTGCCTCATAACATTAGTTTTCACAGCTTCTAATGGGCAGATTACAAAAATTCTTGCAACATGATGCTCTTTATTACTAGCTCAACAACTTCCAGAGTCTAACTAAAATTCGTTTCGTCATTCAATAGAAAAAAATGCCACAATTAAGTAAACTGAGGTATGCTCGAACAGAACAGCAACTATTCTTCGAGATATTTAGTAACTGCAGATTGCACCACAGCCGTTACTTCTGTATTCAAGATCATAATTCGTCCTCAGCTAAATAAAACTGAGACAAAAATGAACCAACATTTCATGAGTCATCCCCACAATAAATATAAATAATTCTATAAAAGCTTGCATTGCCAGGTCTCTTCGAAACCCAATCATTAAAACAACAAAAATGATCCCTCACTGTTCTAATGCCTTCAATTAGTGTCAATAATTAGAAAATTATTTGAAAAATATACATTATTATTAGGCACCATTTGATTCAAGCAGTCAATTTTATAGAAAGCCACTGAATTCATTATTCAAAATTTTGAAACATTCACACACTCATACACGATATTCACACCTAATTTATCACAGATCTGTGGCAAATAGTGAGATGCCTAACTCTATAAGTCTCAACAGGCTAAGTTTATTGCTGTATAGCTCATGAAAGCACATCCATATGCATAGCCCTGCATAACAAGCATCGACAGTTTATTGTCAGTGTTATTGTACAGTTGGACCTCCGTATAAGAGACACTCATGTGGGAGACAAATGGATATAAAGGATACCAGCACGCCTACTTCGAAATAGGTGTTAAGAAGAAAATGCATGAGTCATATTGCTTATAAAAGACCTCTCATACAAAAGGCAAGAATTTCTCTCCAGTGCACGTCTTCTATAAAGAGGTTCAACTGTATCTGTTTCAGCTCATTAATTTAACACACTAAAGCAGTGTACTCGAGCTAAGACCCATCTATATAATTGATCATTTGGACTAACAACATACACTAGGAAGCTCACCTCAACCACATGTCTTGCATTTGGTCGAACGGGACACGGAAGGTACAAACTCTGTATCATCATCGCCGTAGTAGAAGTCATCCCTGGACGGCCGTTTCCTTTTGCGGCCTCTGCGAGATGGCGTAGGCACTGAGAGGGTTGTCTTGCGTGGCCTGCCAGGACCCCGGTGGTAGGCCATCTGGCGCGACGGTGATGAGAACATTCCAACAGCTTTCATGCGTGCTCGAGCGACCACCGACGGTTTGCGGTAGGGCGAAGAGAACGAGCCACCTTCCCCTTCCTCTTCGAGAGAGCCTAGCTGAACCACCTCCACATTGATTACTCGTGGCTCTTCCTGTGACTTGGCGGCCGTTGATGAGGCTGGCTCCTTTGTTTCCGTCCCTGTACCACCACTCGATGGCCCAGGTATGCTTCTGATGTCCGGATGCTTGGGACCTAAAACAACCACAGGGTTCAGGTCCACCCTGTCCAAGGCACTCACTTGCCGATGATCCCCTTTCACAGTAATGTACTTGCCGGGATCGTCCGGATTTGGGATGTAGATGATTGCTATGGACTCTGTCTCTTCCTCTTTCACTTCACCCAATGCCGCTGCGTCACCAGCAGCCCCTTCCCGAGCGCTCGGACTCATTATGGTTGAAGGTTGTTTGGACAGCGGAGTGCCTGTTGATGCGTTCGAGATTCGCGTTGAAGAAGCAAGTGACTCTGGGCTCCGCGACCTTTTGCTGCACACTGTCTTAATAAAGTCTTTTGCAGCTGACTTACTACTGCGGCCTCTGCGACCTGGTTCGGTAGTGGGTGTCGCGAGCTCCTCTCCTTGTCGGTGGAGGCCCAGTGCCGAGAATATGCGCTTATGGGTGGTTGCTTCCGCATCTTCACTCGTGCTTTCATCCTCGTCTTTTATCTGGTAAGTGCCATAAGATCAAACCAGCAACACAGCAACACGTCAATAGGCAGCTTACAAATGAGATTACTGGGACCTACAATGCATTTGCAAGCTTAAGCAACACTCAGCATAACATTAAATGCAGGTTTCGTACACTAAAAGAAAGCTTCAATAACAAGGCAAGCTGGGAAAGTTGGTAAACTAACACACTTAGGGTAAATGCGCAATGCGGTAAATGAGAGACAAAGACTGAACAACACATTTAGCAGAGGTTTGCATTTTGATATTTAAAATGATTAAATATTGAAAAAACAAACAAACTTGGAAGCAACTGTCACGGTTTCCATCAAGTTCTAAAAAGATCTGCATTAAACTACTGATTGTTTTGAATGCAAACTAGTTTTACTACCATCATTTTGATGCGAGGCCGGTCATGACCCAGCTGTGAGCCATTTTTCCAGGCAGAGCAACGCATTGCTGTTAATATGGAGCAGCGTTCACAAATGCTTTCAAGGAAAGCTTGAGCCCTTACCGCTACTCGTCACACTGAAATACAAGTCCAACATATAAATGTTCACATTGGGCAATTGCTGAAGCAGTTCACATAAAATGTGCAACCTATGAAATAAAGAGACAAGTTTTAGAGAGTATTGTGGGCAAATGTTATGCCTATTGCTTCAATTTCATTTTGCAATCATTCTGAATTTACTGAAAATAAATACATTTGAAAAAATTCTGTTCTCATCGTGCCATGGTTATTACGTTCAAGAAAACATTCACAATACCTACAACTTATAAAATGAGCACAACCATACTTTCTCACTGCCACCAAGTCCAGTAATCACTGTGATATCCAGCAATGCACACAGTAAACAGTGAATCAAAACTTGTTGACAAACATACATGCACAATACTCGACAACTGCTGATACCTTATATTCTTCACAACAGCATTAATGAGCGCAGACCTCGATTGCAGCAAAGTTTTTAGGACTAATAAGCACGATATTAATACTAATCATGCAATAAATAGCAAATACTAAAACCCAAATAATGCCGACTACAGGGTCACCTCTTTGCTCGAGGAGCTGCCGAGTTCATCTTTGGCGTCCGTTTTGCTCTCAGTGCGGGCAGCCTCTTGTTCTTTTTCAAATAAATGAATGAGTCGCTTGCTGATAATGTTTTCTTCCGGCTCCCAGCAGTTTTCTGAGCTGCAAAAAAAACACAATGAAAACACGGTATTTGCGTGCAGACTCCTAGTGCATGGGATCACCCAAGTCTGCTCAGTCAGGTCTGCAAAATTTATTCCCGGTAGTGTTTGAATGACAAGCCGCCACCGAAAACAGCAGTAAGGCTTTATTGAACACGCTGTAGCCAATTGCCTTTAGTGTCATATAAAGGCTGAGTTCCCACTTTATGTAGAATTTCGACAGTAAGGCAAATGAGATGTTATAGTGCCTATAGAGATATTATCAGTAAATTAATGTACTACTTTTTGACGCAGTAGCAGGCATGCATTTCGGTTAAGTTGTTTCCAGGGTGCTGTTACAGTGTACTAGAAGGGGTAGTGCTGTCAAGTTGTTGCGGAGTGTGAGCGCTCTTTACCTCGCTGATACCGCTAGTTCTCCACATCTCGACCCGTTCGCCAAGCCTAAGTCGATCTGTTCTGTCACCATGAGTAGAGTACGGCGGCAGGCCTTCACGGCACAGCAAAAGCTTAAGATCATCGCCGTCGCCGAGGAATATGGAAATCGCGAAGCGGGAAGACGGCACGATGTGGACGAGTCCTGCGTGCGACTGTGGAGAAAGAAGAAAGATAGCCAACAAGCCGCGCACCGCGACCGTAGATCATTTCGTGGCCCCAAGACCGGTGCCTACCTTGAGCTGGAGGTGGAGCTAGTAAAGTTCATCGAAGATGTGAGAAGGAGGGGTCACGCCGTATCGACCGAGATGGCCCAAGTGGAAGCGGGGCGACTTTCGAGGGAGCTAGACCTACCTCACGAGTTCCGTGCGAGCCGCGGATGGCTGCACCGCTTTCTGAAGCGGCAAGGGCTCTCAATCAGACGGCGGACTACAATATGTATGTCAACGTTTGCCGGCTTCTTATGATGAGAAGCTGCTCAAGTACCAGAGATATGTAATTGGCCTGCGAAAGCAGCACGATTACATTTTCTCGCAAATCGGCAATGCGGATGAAACTCCTGTTTATTTTGAAATGCCGTTGGACACAACGATTGAGAAGACAGGCAGCAGTTCGGTGAGCGTGCTGACCGGCGGGAAAGCGAAACTGCGCATCACAGTCTTGCTTTGTGCCCTCGCCGACGGCACGCAACTGCGATCGTACGTCATCTTGAAAAGGAAACTCTACCAAAGATTCATTTGCCTGCCGGTGTGGTGGTGCGCACCCACGAGAATGCGTGGATGAACAGTGACTTGTTCGTAGACTGGATCAAGACGGTATGGGAGAAGAGGCCCGGTCAATGTTGCAGCCTCTAGATGTGTCACTTAACAAGCCCTTCGAAGCGCATGTCAAGCGCTATTATGCCGAGTGGATGGCTGAAGGCTGCTACGATTTGACGCTGACAGGACGAGTCCGAAGGCCTGATATTGCCCTATTCTGCAAGTGGATTGTCGAGGCATGGAAGGCCATTCCAGTTGAGATGGTGCGAAAAAGTTTCAAGAAATGCTACATCGCAAACAACATGGATGGAACCGAAGATGACCTTGTGCATAATAGTGAGGACTGCGGCTCAAGTGATAGCTCTAGCGAGAGCAGCGACAGTGAGTGAATTGTGACTGGCCTTGCAGACGGCGTATTCTGCTTGCTAAATAAAGCTTTTTCTGTCTACATATGTGCTATGTTGCTTGAGCAGTAGCTTTTGTACAGCCTTTCCTGTATATCAAATGTGCGGGCATTACGCGAGGATTTTTTTTTTCTTTCTCGGTGAGCTGAAAGTGGGGGTGCGGATTATATGCAGGGGCGGGTTATACGCGCAAAAATACAGTAAGTTATATTTACCAGATTTGGCAGTAATAAGTTTCCTCACTTCGCTGCTAAGAGACTACTGCGAATGTTTAGATGCAAAAGTCGACAACATTCTAGGACTAAGCACTAGGGTAAACATTGTGGGCACAGGAGTTTATTTACACAGCAAGTGAATTACAGAACATGTAAAAACTTACTATTCTTTACAATCAGACTCCTCATAACTTCTCATAGCTTGCAAATTCATGCAAAATGGCTCATTGAAGCCAAAACCTAATGCTGACAATGCTGTGCTATGCAGTAGCTAAAGTGGGAAAAATAGTGAGCTCGTGTGGAAATTTTTTTTTTTTTCTCGGGGCAATAAAAAAAGACACTGTAACTTCGCTATCTCAAATTAGTCTACGATACTATAAACAGCTGAAGACAAAAAATGACAAAATGAAAACAACATCACATGAGGGCTTATTTTTAGTTCTCACCGCAGCCACTGCAATGATTACTTTGACTGCCATTTAAATGTTAATACTAAAACACTGACGCGTATTAGCAAAATATTTTCATTTGTTGTGCAGTTCTGAATTAAGGAGTATAGTGGAATTCACAAATGCTACCACAATATGGTGATAAATAATCTTTTGTGGTAGCAAAGTCATGCATGGCAAGTTGAAGTCCAGTGCCAGAAACTTACTCTGGGTATCCCTTCCATTTGAGGAGATATTCAACCTTTCCGGCGGCATTCACTCTCTTCTCTAGTATTTTCTCCACTATGTACACTTTCTTTTTCTGCCAGAAAAACAAGGGAAACGAGATAGGACATTGTAAGCTTTTTCAGTCGTAAAACACAAACCATGATTGTTGTAAAGCATAGAAAACTGCAACCTAACAAATTTTAGCATAGCAAAGCAAGCATACAGAGAAACGGTTCAGGACTGCATTTACCGAAGGGTAGGAAATGTTAATCAAACATGGCAGGAAGGTTCCACTGCAAGTGTAGGCCTCTGTGGTTAAAACAGCATCCCTGTCGGACAATACTGAGGGATGCTAATATGTTGTGCCAATGCTTATTTCAAGATCTAGGTTGCATAAAGGTCTGTTCAAGGATGTGCAGGGAAACCATGCAAGAGTGCCATTTGAGGGAAACCATGCAAGAGTGCTAGTTAAAAGAGGCCACAATAAAATTAAATGTAAAAGAAAAAGAAAAGAGAGAAAGTGGGAAACTTCAAATAATTTTCATGGTAAACTCAGCTACAATAAACTTCTCTTACAGTGACAATTTTCTCCTTTTTTTTGAGGCAGCTGATTTTAAAGAGGCCACAATGTGCCTTTGGGTAAAAGGATTGGGAGCTAACCATAGAAAGCCAAGCAAATATGCAAGCTGTATCGCCAAAGAACAATGTGCCTAGAACAGTTGATGAGCTAACCTGTGCTGTGCTGTTTTCGCAGCGCCTCAGCAGGCATTTTTTCCTTGGCCCTCGAGCACCCACCCTTCTCTCCTAGGATAGCAAGAAGAAAGAAGGCTTTCTTCAGTACTGCATAGCAGTAAGGTGAAATGCATTAACTACGGGGTGAGCCATCACTAAAGCCGCACCACTTAACAGCATGGATAGAGGAGTCTAAAGCATGTCACTGTGCTGCACATAATTATTCAGCAGCACTGCCAGAACACATGAATGAATAGCTGAGGAGTATGTTATCAGGACAACTCTGGCCACAGCATCAGTAACAATACCTGTGAATAAGAACAAGCCTCAACAAACACATGTCAATGCCGCTCCTCGACTTCATGCCTTGACAACAGACAAGTTTATGTATATATTGCGAGCATCATTTCTTAAGGCGTACATAAAAAAAATCCAAATTTTCTAAAAAGCAAAGAAAAATGAAAGAAGAGGAGGCTTGGCTTTCCGCAAATGTTTAGCCTAACTATTCAAACCATTCTTCTGTAGACCCACCGTGCAGTTGGCACACTGAGCACAGTCCTCAGTTCGGCTGCAGCCTTCGCAGCGACCACAGGCAAGAGATGTTCCAGGAGCATGCGTTCGTGTCTGCTGGGCTTTGGAGGCCTGCTGCTGCCGCTCAGCGGCTGCTACCTTGCAGGCACGTTGCATCTGAAGCTTCTTTTGTTGCCGCAAGCGCTGCATACAGAAAGTGAAAAGGCCATGACCAGAAAAAAATAAGCATTAAAAAAAAAGCTTGCCAATAAATGAAACAGCAACAAATCATAATGTTTGTTCCAAACAACAGACCGAAATGTTTGTTCTTTGAACATGTGATACAGATTGGTTTCAGTTTAGATGTACTGTGCCTAATATCATGCCATCACTCACCAACCTTTTCCATGTAACGCTCTGACACTCTCACCTGTGAAAGAGTTGTTTCTTATTCATTGGTGCACAATTCCACATATTGCCAAACACTTGTCTAGAGCACACTCTGTGCTGCATGACTCACCGCTTCTCCCTAACTACATCTTTAACACATATAGAAAGGGCACGTCTTGAAACCAGGCCAGCTATCAGAACAGCATTTATACTCACTACCAATACTTCGGATTTGTAGAGCATGGATCTGCTATGTTAACAACAGCAAGCACATGACTCAAATTTCCACAGTGTAATTACTCCTTCATGCTTTTCTTGATTACGACTTTGATTTGCGAAACTTGCAACTGCAAATCAGGGAGCATCTACAGAAATACCCGACTAATGACCGTGATGTTCACGGCATAGCTAAAACATGTCTCAGCTCAGCAGCTTCCCGTTTTGCGAATACAAACAACTACTAGTGATGCACAGAACTTGGATTCCATAACGCAAGCAGCCTTTACGTAGCCGATATTCACCTGATGCATGTAGCCAGGAAAGCCACGCCGACCTGCCTTCTGTAGGCCATTGTTTTTAGAGGCTGAGGGAGCGGCAGGAGCTTTCTTGTCTTTGGATGCATCTTCATCTTTGACGGACTTCTTGGCTGTCGTTTCTTGTTCCACCTTTGGTGTCGATTTCTTAACATTCTCTGCAGTAGCTGTGGTCAGCAACAATCAAGAGTTGGAGCACTTAAACATTAGCTGAAGTCTTATTGAATATGAATGCGGCAATAGCCTTTGGCTATTTCGTGGTATCCATATGCAATAATGTGCTAACCAAACTTGATATAACGTACATAACAAATAATCAGTTGCAACAAAATTAATTACAAGTTCCTCATGTAACAATTAAATGCAAGATAACGAATATCAAATAGAGTTATAAAAGACACTTTTGTGCCGATATTCCTTTGCTATAACTAGGACACATTATATTTTAATAAAGTACGACAAAGTCCGCAGTTGTCAAAGCAATTTGACCTTTCCTGAGGAATGGATATATGATATCACCATTAAATAAACATTCCAGAAAATACTATGTTAGCGTGCAACACAATATATTTATATGCTAACTTCATTGGAGCAGTTTTCTGAATTCCAGAAACCCCATTGGATGACTTCCTCCTATGTATCTTGTTAACAGAACAGTTAATGTGAGAATGTGGTATAACCACAATGCACATATGCCTTGACAAAATCTTTCCTGAATTTGTGACACAAACAAAGTGATCAGTGATTACAAATAGGAGAATGTGACTCAAAAAGAAAAGTAACATGAGGTGAAAACACCTCAAGAGGCCAGTATCTGAATGACCCCCACATTTGCCTACCAACATCTTAATCTTGTACGTATGCACCAAGAATGGCATCACCACTTGAAGTCAGCAAATGCGATAACCAAGTAAATAGCCTATTTGAATGTCGCCACTATTGAAAAAATATCTGCCAATGTTTAAATAGAAACCTTTTTTCTCTGTGGTCTCAGCATCTTCAGGCTTTCCAGTGCATCCTTTTTGTTTATGCGTGATAAACGTGTCAAGCTCGTGGAAAATGGTGGCACATGAACCACATTTCAAGAAGTCTGAAAATGAGGCAAGGTGTCACAATCAGAACAATTAAACATGACAATGACATAGTGCCATTTAAACAATGTAAAGTACACAGAGACAGTGAAGGAATGCCATTATATAAATCTCGTAACATGTTACTTCTGACATATATAGTGGCTACATTAAATATATTCTCAGGAAATGACAAAATACACCTTGACCACAGGAACAATTGGTATAGATATGACCACTTCTATCTGCAAACGCAGCTAGACAAAGTTCTTTTTTACACAAAAGTGGAATATCCTAAAAGTTGTTTAAAGTCAGTAAGCATATCACTCAAAAAAAAGAAAAGAAAAAAAAGACCATTTTTGTAAGCTGCGCCTTTCAGATCATTTCGAAAGTGGGCAAACTTAACGAACAAATTAAAGGTTGCATATAAATTTGCTATATCTACAAGAATTTTGCCAAATCTCATTCATGAATTAACTGAAATTTCAGGGGATGCAATTAAAAATTATGGCTGCTTTAGATGTATCACTAGCTCTCATTTCTATGCACAATCTCTTACAACACAAAGCCAAATATATAAATTTTGAAAGAGATCACAAAGAAGTAGATAAATTAGTATACCTAATTTTTCTTGATAACACATTCAATATACAGAATAATTTGTTACATGTTAATCCAATATATGTAGGTCAGACTGTATACTTTTAGCACGTGTATTTTAAAGGGTCCGTGTAACATTTTTTCAGCATTGGTAGACGAGGTTCCAGAGAGCATGTGAGCCAAATGTTACAGCGCAGTCTGGAATTTGCAATTAATTGTCAAAGTCAGCTGAAAATTATTGCTGTTCTCTCGAAAAATGATGCCGTAAACCCAATTCCAAGGCTACTGACTGATTTTAGCATTGTGAGCTGCATAGTTAATGCGGGTGCGGCTGGATGCTGCCACGTGTCTACTGAAAGTAAACCGAACGTTGTAAAAAAAAAAAAAAAGTGCCCGAGCTCATGACGTGTTCTGACAGATGTAGCTTTTCACCGTCTCTCCATACCACCCCCAAGAAAGGAAAGAGAAAAGTTGCTAACCCATGGTTCTTAAAACTTGGCAAGAGTAGCTTTTACTTTCTCTCGTCAGTGGCCTGGTACCATTCTTCTTGGAACAGTCGAAAAACGGGACTTCATTACCTGCAGCAAGTGTCATTACTGTAAGCATTTGTCCACTGGAAAGCTTAAACATACACACACACACACACACACACACACACACACACACACACACACACACACACACACACACACACACACACAAGATACAAGAAAATCAATACAAGCATGTAGTCACGGTCACTACATCAACCACAAAAAAGGGGGGGGGGGGCAGGGCAGGGGAGAGGGGGTTATGAAAAGTAGGAGCATGGTGACTTTCGCGGTAGCTCATTATGCAGATTTCATATCTTGAATGCCGTAAATAATACAAATTGCTGCCATAAAAAAACACTGCACTGAAGCAAATAGCTAAGGAAACGATTCATGCAAAGATCAAGTATGTTTTGGCTAGCCACTGCTCTAACAAATTGAAGGAGGCATTTTAGGGTGACACTAGGCAATCGCACAGTTGGACATGACATGTCAGAGTAAGTGTTCAGTTCACTTAGATAATTTTTCTCAAGGTAGTGATACTGGTGAAGCATTTAGCGTGTGAAACAGCAATTTCACAACGCCAAGGGATGCTTACTGCAGCTTATCCCATTTTCTTAGAAAAAAAAAGTGCATTCATTGGAGGCTCGTCTACCCTTTAGTTACACTTTCTCCAGATGTTTCTTAGAAATTGTCAATGTAGAACATAAGTGTTTCATTTATGACTATGAAGTTGGCATTCCTTTTGCAAAACTGCTGTTCTGTTTGCTTTTCTCATTTCTCATACTGGGTTGGGTCTGCATTGTAATAAAAATAATTACAGTAGCAGTTACCAACTATAATTGACATTACTTAGCTATGGGCAATCGAAGACAAATATACTGGTAGGCGAAAATAGCTTTGTGACGCGCACCATTTAACTTCGTTTTACTTCTCGACCTATGTGTGTTAAAAACGGTAAAGACTGAATTCTGCAATAAGCTCTTGTACTAAATGAACTGGACCATTTGGCAGGCAAGACTTCGAAGATTACCCGTTGCAGGGAATCATCCCTTTGTTGTAATTCTGAACGCTACTGCAATGAGCGCGCACAAGGTAGCGTTGACGGTTTAGGACAGCCGCCAGATGCAAAACATTCCAAGAAAATAGTCACCAAACCTTAACGTAGCCTGCTTCTTCCAAACAGCACAAACTCCCCTTAAAACAATCCCATCACGAAAGAAAACAACAACCGGCGCGAAGCAGAAATGAGTGGCAGCGGTTCGGGAACTGAAACATCACCTAAGAGTGGGCGTCTGGTCAACCGCAAAGCGTTGCTGTAGCCCCCGGAGTTTCAGGCAGCGTTCTAGAAGCAATGCTGTCGATTCACGCGATAGGAAAACAAATTTTATTCTGTGATCCCGCCACGCACAATGCGGTGCCGACCAGTGACGATTGGCAGGCACATTTCTAGGCGATCTCTCGCTCGCGTTCTTGCTGGCATCCCGTTGGAACGAATGCAGCAATAGGAACTGTTTTACGAACGTGAACACCGATGTAGCGTCATCGGCTTCCGTTCAAGATCTCTTGTTTTTCATCAGGTAAACGAGGTCGGGTTCGAATGACACCCGGCTAGGCGCGAACAACTGCTTGAACAATGCCAAACTGGCCCAACCTCACCCGAGGCACACAACTTATAACAGTAACATTAACTACACTTGAAATCTACGACGATACGTCTCTTACGTCCGCTAAATGCGCACGCCGGACAGGTTTGCCAACCGAAATAACTTGGCATGAGCGAGAAAAAAAAATATTTTTTGCAGTTTTCGGGTGTAAGGCAGCGAATATATGGCAGAGCTGTGGCGCCCTAATCGGCCATGGCGTCAAAACGCAGAAAGGCAACGGTGACTTAAAAAGGCCTAGGAAAGCCCACATTTGCAGTGGCAACACAGTCGAACTGGCTGCTTCTCTGAGGACGCCAGCAGTGTCTCCGGCGGCTCAGGCCCCTAATCATCGTCTCTAGGGTTGTTTTCAAGACGAGTGGCACGGAATAGAAGCAGGATAATATTACTCACCATAGATTCAAGTAAATGCCGCACGTCTCTCCTCGCGAGAAAAAGCAAATCTTGCCGGCAGGCGGCGCATGTTTTCGAACGCCTTTCGCCAGCAGACGGTGCATGTGACGTCTCATGATGACGTAATTTTAGAATTTTGGCGCGAATCTGCGGAAGCAGTGGAACGGAGCGTCGCGCGACCTAGCTCGAGTCTTGGGTGCTACGTCGCACGAGTGGGGAGAGAGAGAGCAAACACAACTTTACACATCGGCTGCAGTTATGAAGCTGGATGTGGTAAGGTAGATGGTGGGGAATGGCTTTGCTTGTCAACGTAAAATGCTCGAAGGGCTGCGATAGAATAATGGATTGGTACACCCGAGTACGTGCCCCTCCCGAAATTTTCGTTTAGCCGGGTTTTCATTTCAAAAAGGGTAGCAAGTCAGGCTTATGCATGTGTTCGCGTTTGTACATGTAAATGTATACGTATTATATATTAAACAAAATGATCATTTGGGCGCTACGCTGATGCTGTACAAATGCGTCGCCATAATTGTTTTGGCGGAAGAAGAGTGGTACGGGAAAAGGTTGATCAACCACACTTTTATGTGCGGTACTCGACTGCTGACACGTAAGTTGAGGGTTCGATTTCGGTCCAACCGTCGCATTTCGATGAAGGCTACATGCCAGAGGCCCGTCAACTGTGCGATGTCATTGAACGATAAGAATACCATGGGTGTCGCTGTCCTCCACTACGGCGTGCGTCAAAATCATGTAGTTTCGGCACGTGAAAACCCCAGGTATGTTCGTTCGTGCATACGCACACTCGCTAAACTGAAAATTTTCGAGGTGGAAGGAGACCAAACCCTGCCCTCATTCGGATGCGCCAGTGATGGCGAGCTAACACACTGGGTCCCCAAGCTGCGTTGGGTAGGCAGCACTTGCGTTCGGAGGAGCAGCAGCAGAGCTTGAAAGTTTATTATTATTATTATTATTATTATTATTATTATTATTATTATTATTATTATTATTATTATTATTACGACAATACCCACAGCACCTTACGGCATTACGTTATGTAGAGGAGGGGCAACAAGTCCCTCTATTGTGCCACGTTTGTTCCCCCCCCCCCCCCCCCAACACATATCATGAACTACCACCAACTCGGTGCACGTTAAATAACCCCAGGTGGTCGAAATTTCCGGAGCCCTCCACTTCGGCGTCTCTCATAATCATATGGTGGTTTTGGGACGTTAAACCACACATGTCAATCAATCATCAATCAATTACCACCAAGTTGCCCAACTTTTTATTACTATACTGAATACAATAACACATTCAACCAAAATCGGGTAAAGCGAACAGGGACAACTAGCCAAATAAAAAAAAAAAAGAACGGCATCGTTTAGCGTCTCTTTCATTCGCACGCGTGGGTCCGTGAGCGTTTGTGGTGTGTTTACAGCCGCTCGCGATGCCTGACACGCTCGCTGGCTCGTGCTCGGTTAACACGCTCACAACTACGAAAGCGAAGAGCACTCCAGCGTTTAGACGTGCCGCGCGCTGTGCAGTACACACTTCGCAGTCAGCGATCAAGGAGGAATATAGAAAAAAAAAATGCTGGAGTGGAAGCTCCCGCAATGCCTTGCCAGCAGAAGTGAAGCCGTGCACCTTTCGCCACTCCCAAGATGGCGGAAACATGCTCTTTTCTGATAGTGCCCACTTAAAGATCTATTGGCTTTGATATGTTATGTAAATGCTACGTTAGTTCTAAATTAAAATATAGTTGTTCCCGACGAAATAACACACAGAAACGAGTATGCATGACTGGATCTTCAAAGAACTTTGCCTTCAATTAGAGGCTCGCTAAGGAAAACTAGTAATTGTAATACGCACTTGGAGCTTTAGGTGACCCGAAAAAGTTTCCACATTAAACTAGTCTAGTTGGGCGTGCGAGGGAAACACTTCGTTTTTAAACGGTGATTTATCATGCCCCTAGTAAGATGGCCGCCATCTCGCCAGAGGAACGGCTTCACTTCTGCGCAATCATTTCCACTCCAGCAATTTTTTTAATGCCCCTTGCCAACGACGCGCCTTACCCGGAAGCTAATTCCCGGCGTGCCACTGGACAACAAAGTGGGTCCGTTAAAGGGAGGAAGAGTATTACTGGCGTAAACACAGGCCAGGCTCGAAGGAAGCAGCCACTCACACAGTGCATTACTGTGGCCGCTAATACTTACAGGAATGGCTGTTTTCGCAGAGTGCTCCTGACGTCACGTCGTTTACATAAAAAACAAAAAAAAAAAAACACCAGGCCTGCGCGGTAGGCAGCAGCACAGTCACAGCTAGAAGAGTGGCCTTTCAGAGCCTTTATTAAAACACTCGTGTTCTTGTTCTTGTTGCCCTTCACTTGTGGCTCATACTTAGATTCTTCGCGATGGGAACCACCCTACGAACTACCCCAAGGTGGCGCCTCATTGGGTAACTACTGCAAGCACACTTGCTTAGTACCCACTAGGGCATTATTAATAAACTTTTGGGTAGTAGGCCGGCATTCGCTATGCTATTTTTCGTCATTCTTCTGAGAAGCATGATATCCGCTAAACACCTGCAAGGAATTTTATCCCAATCGTCCATGCAGTGGCTGACGACTATGAGGAATAATGGCTGAAGTGGGTATGCGGAAACAAGAACAAGCTTTCGTAATCGATTGGAGCATTGTACGACCCACTCGTTACGCTATTCGCATTGTACGACGACTGGTTGTCCTTTCTCTGTTCTAAAACGCTTCATAAGTCGTATTAACGCGATTGCTTTCCCGACATCAAGCCTGCCTAAGGCAAGTTTGACAACAAGTTACTAGCACCGGCGTAACTCAGTGGTGGAATATTGGGCTGGAACCCATCAGACCCGGGTTCAAGCCCCACTGTGTCATTTGGTGCAAGGTTTTTCTAATTTCGCGCGATGTGGTTACGGACACCGGCGGCGGCGGCGGACAACATGCAACTGTGCGTGACCCGAAAAGTGATCTTATAACAGCTTTCGCTGTAAAATGAGTTGATATGTGTTTGCTCTTACCTACAGGCAATGGGTGCTATCCGTGTTGGGCGTCGATAAAATTCGTGGCGTATGACGAAGTATAAAAGTTATGCGGGCACCGAATGTCGTGGTTGGTGGTTTAGTAGCGTGGAAGTTTGGGCTATAGTTGTTATGACATGACAATTGTTGTAGCGCGAGCTCAGAACGACGACAAAGGGACAAGAAGTAGACGAGCATTGGTTTAGTGTCGGACGCTTTCGTGAAACGCACATGTCTCTTCCGTGCGCTGTGCTGGCTATTCACCGTGGCAGCGGCACTTTCATTCAGTGTTAGTGGTAATTATCTGCAGCGTGACGCGTTAATTAACGGCTCTAGATTGATATGCCTGATGCACCTCCGCAGACGAGTGCCTATTGTCTTGATAAAGTCGTCCAAGAAAGGTCAATGCGCCTTATACCCGTGCCACACGGGCATAGAAAATGACATTTGGTGGCGAAGGCCTTCAGATCCCGAATGACATTCGTTTCGCCGGCGCTGCTACACGTCCAAAGCGAATGACATTTGACTTTATGATGTCGATCACAGCACCTTCCAAGTGAGCATTGAGTGAATAGCAATAAAAAAAAATTTAAGAAGCATTTACAAGCTTCATACACATCATATAATCATCAAATGTAGAAATAAGCATATTACGCTGTCCTACGTTTTAGTTTCTTGCTTTGTTTTACAACGTTGCAGCCGACCGTAGCAACCTAAGCCAACACTAGTCAGATCCACAGCGTAAATAGTTAAAATAGACACTAAAATTGACAAGCGTTTCATGATCAATACTTTATTTTCTTTGTATAACGTTAAAAGCATCTTTTTAAGACTTTTGTGCAAATAAAAGACGGGAAATTTTAATTTTAGCTCAATATGATTTGTTTTATATACTTTCAGGTAAATCGCACTTCGCGAGCTGTGTCGTCGAGAGTAGGCATTTTTCAGTCAACTGAGTTCTGGCGAAGGCAGTTGGTGGCGAATGGCATTCGAATGCCATTCGGATGAATGCCATTTTGTTCGCCCGTGTGGCACCGCACGAATGGCAATAAATCTGAAGGCATTCGGGGGTAAATGCCATTTTTTCTGCCCGTGTGGCACGGGTATTACTTGAGCTTGCAACCCTCACAACACCACGAAGTTGAGTTCCTGCATGACATGAAAAGTAAGCACAGGGCCGGTTTGAGTGTGGAAACATGGGAAGGGACTCTAACGTGTAGTGGGCTTAGCAATTAAAGCTGATGATTACGACGATAATGACATAAACTGCTTATTGCCAACCGCATTGTTGGTGGCCTCCCGTGTAAGTGCAACATGTTCCAATTCAACGCATCGTCACACCCTGCATGCAGACAACTGTGGTCTTCCGGAAGAAGGGTGCAGTAGACATTTGAAGTTCATTGCAGAACTTTGGGCTTATAGCTGGCGTTAACTGTACTTGTATACATCTTAATAGTGCAGGTCATGAAACACGCACACAAGAAAGAGTCACGTTACCAGTCCTGTTTGCGTTTCTTTTCCTTGTCTGCACGGTTGTTACTTCGCGCTGTTAAAAGGTATACGCACTCGATTAGCAGAGCTGGTAAGGCTGTCTGACGTAAAAGTGTGATTGCAGGTGCCGCGCTTAGAAGAGAATTACAGAACTAACTTTTTTTAAATTCTTTTTCTTGGAAATCAAGCCGGCTTCAAAGTTTTACACAGAATTCCAGCTATTAAAAGACGGTGAGGCCGGGCTTATCAGTACCTACTGAAAGCTTGCACGTGATGTCGTGGACATTGATAACGACGCCACTGAAAACTATACTGATAACACTAATGTGGTATCACAAAGCTCGTGTCCGCCAATGTTAGTGCCACAACGTGGCTGTTTCAGTGACTTCACTAAAATTTGCAAGATCGTTGTACTCAGCCGAAACCAAGTCAAACGGGTGAAATGCATGAAAAAAAAATTCTGCGATTTTCATCTGGTCTGTCGCCCTTGAAGCACCAAACGAGACAAAGCTGTTCAAGG